ATTTTTCCTCCTTCAAGGCCCAATTCAGGCGCTACTTTCTTCATGACCCCTTCCCTGATTCTTCTACTTACACGTGCACCCTCTACCTTCTTTTTTGACTGTCTCCCTCTTTGAACCTCCCTCCTTGAAGCTCTGGCCTTTCCTATACACTTAATTATTTTAAAAACATCCTAATATTAAGAGATATGATGTTTCAGGGGATGGATTTCTGAATTTCGATTCAGGAAGACCTGAGTTCATATTTGCCTCCATCATTACTAGCCTTGTGACCCTGAGCAAATAAGTCAATTAACCTTGATGAGTATTGAGCTACACTTTAAAACTTTAAGTTATAGTTACATTGTTTATAGTCTTTGCAGCCACAGCACACTGATGAGCTGAATTGAATTCACCCTCTTCCTACAAGTTTCTAATTGAAGAGCCATTCCTAATAGAAAACGGGGAAGGAAAAGAGAACCATTGATATTACTATCTCACCTTGATAAATTCCTGGATTCACAAATGATCATTCACAAATATGCTATACAATGATAGTCAAAACCAGCCTGCATCCTTTCACATCATGGTTTAACTGTGAGGCTTTTTCCCCCCCTCGACTCAACAAACATTGAGCAGCTACTGGGAGAGGTAGCAAGACTCAATCAACATCCCAGGTGGCCTTGGACTCAGGGTGCCTGCCCTACATTCCAATCCCACTTCTGACCTGCACTGGTCATGTGACATTGGACCAGTCATAAATCTCTTAGCGCCTCAGGCAACTCAAGTATGAGTTTTTGTTGTTTTCTTTTATGTCCCAGTAGATATGAATAATGATCTGACTTTTCTTTGTTAAAGTGTCTCTTTGAGGGTCAATAAGATCTAAAAGACGCCTAGAAGATGTTAGAACAGACAGATGTCCATTTGTGCAAGTGAATATCAGCGTTCACATCATCACAGGTGCCATATCTTAATTTCATTTCAATTAAATTAGAGGAGCCTGATAATGAATTAAGTCCTCCCTGGGTATCCAAAGACAAAATAAAACAATCCCAGTTCTGAAAGAGGGGAAAAAATGTATCCACATAAAAGTATATACAAAATATTAACATGTAATTTCCTTGGTGAAGGCAAAGGTCAAGTCAGGGCAGCTTGTTAACAACAGAACAAGGTTCCAGAGGGCAGGATGGAAGGAAAGGGAACTCATCAACAAGTATTCTTTCTTCCTCTGCAGCCTTCCCTCAGCTCTGATAGGCAAGCACAGGCTTTCCATGCCTTTTTTCCCTGGTCTCCCCCTCATTTTCCCAAGGGAGTATTTTCTCCCTCTCCAGCATTCTTCCAGATGTCTTTCTCCATTATAATGTCAGCTTGCTGAGGGCAGGCATTGCCTTTCTTGCCTACATTTTGTATCTTCAGCACTTAGCATTGTGCCTGACAGGAAGTAAGTGATTACTAAATGCTTCATCTATTTATTTGGCACCTACTATGTGCCAGGTGCTGGAGATATCAATATAGTAAACGCAAAGAGTGAGACTGTGAGACCACAGGGATGGGCTCTAATGGATGGGTATGAAGGAAAAGGGAGTGCTCTTCAGGGAAGAACTCTTTGGACCAGACAGCCATATACCTCAGAATCACAGGGGATTCTGAGTAGAGTCAAAGCACAACAGATGATCAGGTCCTTTACAATGTAGTAAAGGTAATACAGGGTGTTTATTTTTTGAATTTTTTTTTTGTGGGGGAGGCAGTTGGGGTTAAGTGACTTGTCTAGATACACAGTATCTGAGGCTGGATTTGAACTGAGGTACTTCTGACTTCAGGGCTGGTGCTGTAGATAATATAGGTTTGATGATCAATTCCTTAGAAAGAGTTGGAAAACAGGAGAAGATTATCTCCCCCAGAGCAGGGACTCATGGGAATTTCTGTTCCTGGAGTGCCATTGGGTATGGAATAGGAAGGGCAGCAGAGCAGATGTCCAGTCCCTGGTTCTACCTGAAGATCAAAGCAGGTGTAATTGGTGAAATCCTAGGGCTAGACTGATTACCTAGGAATGGGGAAAGATCAAGGTATACTCACTCTCAGCCAAGTCAGCTCTGCCTGATTTCAGGGTTTGAACAAGATTACAAGATTTCAAGGTATAGATACATTTAAAATCATTTAACCCAAGAGACTGTGTAGTATGGTGGAAAAGGCCCAAGATTTGCAGTCAAGTGACCTGGGTTTGAATTCTTCCTTTGCTTCTTATGGTCTAATTTTGGGGAAACCACTTAACCTCCTCTCTGGGCTTTACTTTCCTCTGTAAAATGAGAAGGTTGAATTAGATGACCTCTACTACTACTTTTATAGATCTCAATCTAGGACCTGACTATGTTCTATTTTCCTATATGATGCCTATCTTAAGAATTTCAAAGTACTCTGCAGTATTTCTGTGGATCCATAATCTTTTTGGTGTGGGCAATCTCCCTCCTCCTTACCCCTTTAGATGCCCACCCATTCATGTCTGCTAGTTTTGTGTGATTTTTTTTGGTCCATATTTTAAAAAAATCTTTCATCCATATTTTTCTGCAACTCTTTAGAGGAGCTACCCAATATCTAACAGGGTTTCTTTTAGTCCTAATAATTTTCTGGGTAAATCCTTGGTTCAGCCACCTGTTTTCCTTTGCCTTTATTATGTGACTGGCTTAACCTTCTACATTTAAAAGCAATTGAATTAATTCCAGTGACAATCAGGAGACTTGCTGAACTGGATCTAGAGTCAAGAAGATCAGAATTCATATCCAACCTCAGATATTTACTGGCTGTGTGACATTGGGTAAGTCACTTCACTTCTGTCTGCTTCAGTTTCCTTACCTATAATGGAGATAATAATAGCATCTACCATATTGTGAATATCAAACGAGATATTTGTAAAGTGCTCTGCAAACCTTAAGGTGACATAAAAATGCTACAGCTCTGATTATTATGATTATTGTTATCATCAAGAAAATTATGTCAGATGAAGTTTCCCTTGGAAGCTCCAACCTCCAAGCTCATAGTAACGTTTCCTTTGGGCAGCTTTCTCCCTCTCTTCTAAGCTACTTACTGTCCACTCTTCATATCAAAACCTGCTTTTCAGCAAAGGAACTAGATATCAGGAAAAGCTTAGTAACTGATGACATGTTTCCTTTTCAGGCATTTTAAAAAGGGGATCAAAATGTTCAGCTGAAGGAGATGAGGGACATGTGGTTTCAAGCCTCAAGAAACAGGAGAAATATTTTGGGGGTATCTTGAAATCAGGCCCCTAAGACAGGCTTTGTTCTAAGGAGGCACAAAGCCCAAGTTACAAACCTCCTGTGAATCAGCCAGGTGTGTCCATGTTATTGTCAGTGTATTAGGAAAGGTAGCAATACAAGGGAAGGACACAATTCTTCTTTGTCTGGACCTATAAATGCATGATTTGTTGTATGGGCAGTCATCCCTAAACTATTCAGGAGAATATTTTTGGAACTGCAGACATCAGAAGCCAAGCAGAACAAGGGCTCCCACCTTCTACTTATTGAGATTAATCAGATTAGTGGTTTTTTTTCCTCACAGAAACTGCCCACATCTAAAAATAGTGCTTATTTATTGCCTATTGAATCAAAGAAGTCCATTCCCTGGAGGACATACATGGGCACAGAAAAATAAACTATATTCAAACAGCAGATAGAGTAGACTGTGAGATGTTCCCATCTTATAAACTTAGATACACACAAACCATATCTTTATCCATAGCACACCTACAAACCTTAAGTGTCCCATAGAACTGTGTCTTGAGTCTTCACTTTTACCTCCATACTATCTTATTTGGTGATCTGGTAAGCTCCTATAGATTCATTTTCCACCCCTATACTGATGACTCTCTGATTTACTTATCCAGTCCTTTCCTCTCCTGATCTCCAGGCTCACATCTCTAACTGCCTTTTTGACATTTCAAACTGCATATCCTATAGAAATCTTAAACTCAACATGGCCCAAACTAAATCCATTATTTTTCTTCCCAAAGCTTCTACCTTTCCAAATTTCTCTACTGCTGTAAAGGGCAACAATATCCTCCCAGTCACTTATATTGGAATCATGAGGTGTCATCCTCAACTCCTCACCATCTCTCACCCCCCATATCCAATCTGTTGTCAAGGCCTGCCGATTTTACCTTTATAATATCTCTTGCATATACCCCCTTCTCTCCTCTGACTCGGCCACTACCCTGGGGCAGGTTCTCATTACCTCATTCCTGGACTATATCAGTCAGTCAGTTAATAAGCATTTATTAAGTGACAACTTTGTGTCAGGCATTGTACTAAGTCCCAGAGATACAAAAAGAGGCAAAAGATAGTCCCTGTCTTCAAGGACAGGGGAAGACAACAAATAAATATGTTCAAAATATTGCAATAGCCTGCTGGTTGGTCACATTGCCTTAAGTCTTTCCATATTACAGTCCAACTTCCACTCAGCCACCAAAGTGATCTTCCTAAAGAACAGGACTGACCGTGTCACTCCTCTATTCAATAAACTCTAGTGGCTTTCTGTCAGGATGAAATATAAAATCTTGATTTTGAAGTTCAAAGCCCTTTGTAACTTTCCCCTCCACTCCTTTCCTTACACCCTTATGTACTCTGTTCTGAGATCCAGTTTGCTGTTCCTCAAATAGGATACTCTATCTCTTAACTCCTGGCATTTTCATTGGCTTTCACTCATGCCTAGAATGTTCTACTTCCCCTTCTCTGTTTCCTGGCTTCCTTCAAATCCCAGCTAAAATTCCACCTTCTAGAGTGTCTCTTAATTCTAGTGCCTTCTCTTTGTCAAATATCTTTTGTTATCCTGTCTGTAGCTTGTATGTACATAGTTATTCGCTTGCTATCTCCCATTAGACTGTGAGCTCCTGGAAAGTAGAGATTGTCTTTTGTCTTTCTTTTTACTCCTAGAGCTTAACACAATAGTGCCTGGCATAGTAGGTGCTTAATAAATGTTGATTGACTGACTTGACACATTCATTAAGGTGTCCAGCAAGCTGCATTTTATTTCCTTTATAGTCACACGTACAAAATACACTCACCCTCATCCTAACATCAATGCAGTGACACACAAATGCTCTTTCTGTGAATTGCTTCTTCAAAAGGGACCTCCCACCTCTTACTACCTCTCCTAATATATGACATGGACACATTGGGCATTTTTATTTCCTTTACTTATAATTCCTTTCTGTCTATCTTGAACTTTTCTGCGTTTGCTTTATACTCTATCTCTGTGACGTTCTCCTCTAGTCCTGTGTCAATTTCTATGTTCGAGTGGGCACATACTGAGAAAGAGCCTATTTTAGCCCATCTTCCACCCTCATCAAATGAGACATTATTTGTAAAGCACTTAGTATGTTGCCTGGCACCTAATAGTTGTTTAATAAATACTTGTTCCTTCCCCTCTCCTCCCCCAACACTGATTGAAATGTGATCTTTCACTGTAGGCTCAGTTCTCTAATTTTAGGAAATGCCCAGGTCCTTGTCTTCAGCCAGAATGCCTTAAATTTTTTTTCTCTCTTGTGCAACATATTTGATTCTGAAAGCACCAGGGGATGTATCCATCTGTGCTGCTGAGTCATGGAATTGGCTCAAGGAAAGAGTAAGAAACAAGGGGATGAAAGTTGCACATGACCTAGCTAGTAGTGATTCTGCTGTTTTGGTTTTGGCAAGTGGAAAATCCATAAATGAATTGATAAACTGGAGCTCCTTGGTACTGGGAGATGCTGCCTTACCTCGTACCCAGTCTATCCCCTCCTAACATCCCCTTTCTAAATACACTGACAATAGAATTAACATACTTGGGAAATTCCTGAAGGGATGCAACTTTGGGTTCCCTCTTCCTAGAACAGAGAGCCCTCAGGATTTGAGACCTCAGATGAATTTCCACTGTGGTTTTTTTTTTTTAACTCTCACAGTGAGTTGAACAGTTCTCTATTTCAAATGATTTTATTCCCCCCATCCCTCCTCTTGAAGCAGAGATAAAGGAACCCTTCCTGCCTAGGCCTTTTTAAATCCCTTAGACATTTTTGGAATCATCTTTTTGTCGGGGAAACAAACTGGTAAAGATGCTGGTATCCAGAGGTTGTAACTGGCAGAAGTAAATGAGGAAGGATATTGATGAGGTTGTGAATAAAAGGCAATCAATAAATGAGGAAGTGTGCCTGACTGGTTCCCTTCATCTCAGTCCCATTTCTTTCACTATTCAGCATTTCTTATGCTAGTGATTTACAATGTAGAGGAGTTTGATCTGGTGAGTAAATCACTGGGCATGGAGTCAGGACTCCAAGTGGCTGAGTCACCAAGCAGTCTGAAGGAAGTCCTTCCCTTCCCTTTATCTTAGCCTTCCCCATGTCACAGATGTGAGGTTGGTGGTGGTGGTAGAGGGGGTGTGTGTGTGTGTGTGTGTGTGTGTGTGTGCGCGCGCGTGAGCAAGATGAGAAGGTCGTGAGCTAGAGTTGGAGTCCTCCATATCTCCTCTTCTTTGAAATAAACAAATGTAAATGGAAAAACTTAAGACAGCCCGAAGTGACATAAAGCAGTTTTCTTCTTTGAAAAATGGGTTAGGCTAAATGATCTCTGAGGTATTTTCCAGCTGTCACATTCTTCGATCCTTTGATTTTTATGCCTGACGTTTCATGCGGAACCATTTGAGAGCTCCTTGAGAGGAGGCAGTCTCTTTTGCCTTGCAGAAGGGTTTGGGACCCTCTTTTGCATTCCTCAAAGCTTAGCACGTTGCTTGGCACACATTAGGCATCTCAAAAATGCTTCGATCACACAGTATTCCCTGAATTAAAAGCTAGGATGTGTGTCTGAAGTGGTTAGAGAAATTCGGCAGAGGATCTGAAGTACTGTTTTAGTGAGCTGAAGTAGGCGTAGGGTATTCTCAGGTAACCCCGAATTTCAGGTACAAGGCAACTTCCTATAATTAGTTCCGACCCCATGGAATTTTCCCCTGGAATACCCATTCATATAAAATTCCACCAGGAGCCTGAAAAAAAAAACTTTTCCGCTTTGCTGATCCTCTATGTCAGACTTAAGCTGCTGCCGGGATTTCTCCTGCCTTCCCTATAGGCTGGTCAAGACAAGTAGACATTAGCATCCCTTGTGAGTCAGGGGCAAATTGAATAACAAGGACCGAAACCACCTTATTTGCTTTCCGATTTTCCTCTTGCTTTGACAGTGGAGTCTGAAGACCCGTGTTCAAATTCTGCTTCTGATGTTAGTTTGTGACCTTAAGTCATTTGACTTCTCTGCGTTTCTTCTGTAAAAAGAGGGGTTTGGACTAGATGACTTCTGAGGTCCCTCCTCCTCTAGACCCCATAATTTTATGATTCTCCAGCGAGGCTTCAAACATTTTCAACACCCCCCCCAAAAACCCCCCCAAAACAAAAACCCGAAACGAAACAAAACAAAACCAACTAACCAGATTTAGAACCATCCTATTTACCTTTGGATTTTCCTCTCATCTTTACAGGAGCCTTTCAGGAGACTCCTAGGGAAGTTTCAAGTACACAAGTAAAAATCTTCGTACGGTGGGGGAAAGAGACGGAGGAGGTGAGTATATGGCAGGACGTGTGTGTGCTTGGGAGTCCAGAAGCGGGTTGGGAGTTAGTTGATGGGGAAGGGTCTGTCCGTCTGGTCTTTCTCTGTTTCTGTCTCCGCACCTCTTACTGTGTTTCTATTTGCCTCTGTTACAGTGTCTGTCTCTCCCTCACCTTCTCCCTCCTCCAGTCGGTCTATTCTCAGGCTCACTTCTCCCTTCCCCTCCTTCTCCGTTTACCTCCCTTTGCGCGTCTACTGTGGGGGCGAACCGGGCCGCGGGTAAGTGGGGGAGGCGCGCGCACGCGCAGCCGCCCGGTGCTTTGCGCGTGCTCCCCGCCTCCGCCCTTTTCCCCCTCCCCCGGGACCTGGCGGCGGGCGCAGGGAGCGTGCGCGCGGCCCGCCCCGGGCGCGGGCGGAGGGGTGAAGGAGGGGCGCGCGGCGGCCCCAGCCCGCAGACGTTGGAAGCCGCGCAGGAGGACGGACTAGGAGCGCGGGCAGCGGGGCGCAGCGAAGCGAAGCGGACGGGACGGACCGTGCAGCCTAGCCCAGCCCAGCGGAGGAGCCCAGCCAGGCAAGCCCCGAGCTGGTAAGCAAGCTCTCAGGAGGCAGCAGCCGGGCCGGCCGGCTCGCAGTTCCGTTCTGTCACGCGGGGCCGCTTCCTCGGGCAGCCTCGGGCCCTCGGGCCACAGGCCGTCACCGACTCCGGCGTCCGGGAAACCCAGTGCCCACGCGGGACCGCGGCGGCAGACGGAGCGAGCGGTGTGCAGGCCCGCCTGGGGTGTGCCGTGGGCGGGCAGGGGCCGGGGTCCCTGCGCCCCTCAGCTCTGGTCTTCTCCATCCCCTGAGCCCGGGGCGCCCACTTTTTTTTTTTATCACCTTCTCATCTCCTTGTTGCCCCTTCTTTTTCCTTCCCTTATCCCTTGACGCCTCCTTCTCTTCCACCGTCCCCATCCTTTTCTTCATCCCTCATCGCTCCCGTCTGTTTTCTCGTATCCCTCTTGTCTTGTCTGCTCTCCTAGTTTTTGGACAACCCTCTTTTCCATTCCTCTCTCCCCAGGTCACACTCCTTTTCCTCTCCCCTCCTTTTCCCTTCCTGTCCCGCATCCCTTGTCGCTCCATTTCTAGTCCATCACTTCCTTTCTCCCTAATCACCTCTTCCTTTGCTTTTCAGTCCTTACCTCTCGTCACCCCCGTTTTCTTCTCCTTAAATCCCTCTCTCGTTTGCCCTCTTCTCTCTAGTAGCCCCTTTTCTCTGTTTTCTCCCCTTCCACTCCCAGTCCTTGTCTCTCCTTTTTCTTACTCTTTCCTTGTTACCTTTCTCTTGCTGCTCTTTTTATTGCTTGTCAACCCCCTTTTCTTTTCTTCCTTTCCGCCTCCTCTCACTCCTTGTCAGTCACTCGATCAACTCTTTGGCAACTTCTTCTGCCTCCTTTTTCTCTCACTCTTGTCACCCCCTCCCATTTTCTTCTTTTCCAATTAATTGTCACCCCTCTGTCAGTCCTCCAAAATTTTCTCTCTTCCTCTCCACCCCATCTCCTCATCTTGTTGTCATCTTCCTTAAAGTGGGCCCCCCCCAGTCCATCCTTTCCTTCCCACTTTTGCTCTGACTTTACTTTTTCATCTCTCTCCCCTTCCCTCTGGACCTCCTTTCTCCCTACCTCCTCCCTGCTATGCTCCCCTGCTGCTTTTTTGGCTCTATCTTTCCCTCTTATCCTCCCGTTCTTGGTTTCCTTGACATCTTACCCTTCATCACCTAACACTTCTAAGTGGGTTTCAGCTGCTTACATATTCAGTATCTCTGTGTGTGGATATCTTAGGAAACAATTTGAGTTTCATGATGTCATCGTTCAGCTTGACCATTTGTGGTTTTGGATCACTATGTATAGTACTAATTCCCTGTTATTTCCCTCTAAGTACTCCTTTGTGTTTGAGCTCCACACTTCTGTTGATATAAAAGTTGTGAGTGAGTTTGTTTTTGTGGGGAAGGGGTTTGTATGGATAATATAACTATTTTATTTAGGTTGATGTTACCAGTGGTGCTATGGTTTTATGGGTAACCGGGCAACCAAGTGACAGAGAGTACTTTACAAAAACAGTTTTATTGTGTAGGTATAATAGTGACCTTTGTACTTTTAATCCAGGGACCTTGAGGCACTTTCTGAATTAATTCATTAGTTTTGACTGTAGCCATATACTACAGGTGGGTGGAGAACATTACTTTTATTTTACAGGTGTAGAAATTGAGACCAAGAGACAGGTTTTGATTTTTTTTTTTTGCCTGAGATAATAAGGTGAGTTATTAACCCATATAGGAGGAGAAACCAGCAGGTTTGACCCATACATTTCCTGGAGGTTTTAATTAGAAATTTTCTAGAAGTCATAAAACACTAGAATATTCATCCTGAGATGATGCATCTACTTAAAAAACAAAGCTCCTTAGGACTGGACTGAGATTCAGATTATTTGGGTCCTGGGCCTTGCCCTTGCCAGAATTCAGTTACAGGGACAAGCTACTTGGCCTCTCTGTACCTGTTTCCTTGTCTGTGAAATGGGGGAAGGCACTGACTCCCTGGTTTCTCTCTGTCTAAAATGGTTGTTAGGCTGGATTATTAGATAACACTTTGTTAATTTAATACCTCAGAGCTGCTGCTTTGCCTTTGGTTGCTGTTTTGATCTGTGATCACATGAATCCCTTCAGTTGGAGTGCCCCCATAGCAGATGGTTAGGCCCTTCCGTAGTGTTTAAAGTACTTGAAAATTAAGGACATAGGAGCAGCAGTGCTGGTATAGGTGATTGATGCAGTGTTGCTTAGTGGTTATCCTGAGCTCCACATCAGGGAGTCCTGACACATGCGTTCTGTTTCTTCCGGGAGCACTGACTCATTCTGTGATGCTATGTGCATGTGGTTCTTTAATGTTTTTGACTTACCGCCCCCCCTTAAAAAAAAACCCCACAACATTTCCCTCATTCTGAGACTTTTGGATATCAGTGTTGGGTATTTAGGATCACTAAGAAAAGTTTCTCCACTGAGTGCCTATTAAAAGACTTTATCATTCATGTCTGCATAGTGTACTATTTATTACGTAACAGAACAATTAAAATGCAGCTGTAGGCTCATAATGCCTACAGTTAAAGGCCTCTTTCCAGGAAAATCCAGATTAATCAGGTGTTTGTAAAGATGAAGTTTAAGAGATCTTTGTTTAATGATTACTGTTGCATTTGGGATTTTATTTTAAGGAGAAGAGGATGTTTAAATGGGATTAATTATTTTAAAACTTGGTATCATTAACAGATAACTGATTTTATGAAGCTTTTGAATAGAGGAAGTAACAGAATCATTGCTTTAAATATGATGGCTTATAAAGTTTCTCTAAACAAAACACCTTGATGTTTGGGACATACGAGCACAGGGCAGTTACCCTCTTTGAACAACCTTAGTTCTGTCAGTGTAATCATCCTGGCCTTCTAGGCTCACTATCAACTACAAATGAAAACTTTCCCATTCTTTTGTGTATAAGAGTTGCTGAAGGAACTGCTGTCGCAACGTGAATTGTTTCAGAAAATGAGTGAACATTACATAAGACAATTAAGGCCAAAAGAAGTTTAAAGTGCTATGGTGTTCTTTGTATTATGAATTAAAATTTGGAATGCTCGATTCCTGAGGTGGGTTTTCAAATCTGTATTTCTATAAAGGTAGAGCAATATTTCAGGAAACAGATTCCAACCCTGTAGGTCCTCCTTCCACTGATACAGACTGCAGTTCAACCACATCTTAATCATTTCTGGGTCCAAAAAATTAACCTCTTGGTAATCATCTGATGATGAACCCCTCTGTACTCAGCCTTAGACCATTCTAAGTCAAACAAGAACCATACTGAGTCTTGGAGGATCTACCAGAGCTTGTAAATTGTTGGCATAGCTATTGAGAAACCATACTACATTGTGAAAGACTAATAGTAATTAGAGACTAAAGAGTAATACAGAATGGAAATTAGCCTTAACCATGTACTCATTTAACTGCATATCCCAATATTACAATCAATATATTGAAAACATCTGAAAATATAGACAGTGTTTTTATAGCTGTGGACCTATTACTTTTCCAAAGGGTGCTGCTATAAAAATATTTTGGTGGATGTAGAGCCTTTTTTAAATCATTAATTTCTTTGGAGCAAATATTTAGCAGTGGAATATCCATCTGGGTGAAAGGGCACTTATATTTTAGCCACTTTATTTGCTTAATTCCAAATTGCTTTCCAGGATGGCTGAAGCAAATTCACTGTTCCACCGACAGTGTATCTTTTTTGCCATCTGCCCTCTGACATTAAAGAGTCTAGTCTTTTCTCATCTTTGTCAGTTTGCAGGGTAAGACTTGAAACCTCAGGGTTGTTGGGCTTTGCTTTCCTCTTTTTATTGGTGATTGGTAGCATTTTTTTATGTAATGGTTAAATTTGCAGTTCTTCCTTTGGAAACTTTTTTTCCATATCCTTTGACTATGTATCTATTTGGGAATGGTTTGAGATTTTTTTTCCCCCTCATTGTCTCTGTATCGTGGATACTAAGCCCTTATCTTATAGAGATGACTCCTCCTCCCCTCCCCCGCCCCAATGTTGCATTTGTTTGGAACATGACTAATATATCTTTGTCATCCTGTTTATAGTATCATAGACTTAGGAGTGGAGGAGACCACAAAAATTATTGAGTCCAACCCCTTCATTTTCTAGATGAGAAATGATGAGGACTAGCAAGGTTAAGTGTCTTGCCAGTGGTCACAGAGCTAATAAGTATCTGAGGCTGGGATTTGAACCCAGTCTTAAATGTTGAATGGAGCACCCAGTTTTTAAACAGGGACTTCTTCACACGTAATCAAATGTCCTGCCACTAAGCTGAATAGAATAAAGGTGTATGGATAGTGAAACTGCATCTGATAGCAAGGCAGGAGAGATAAAGAGTTTGTCACACCTTGGAATATTTTGAAGTGATAATTAAGGTGTGCAGTAAAAAAAAAAAGGTGTATGGTTTGGTTTGGCCTACTGAGATATGCCTGCCTTGAATAAATCACATTCTTTGTATCTGGACCGCAGACAGACAGTCCTAGACTTCAGTCTGTGATATTAATAATTTCCTAGTAAAGGTTAAATTAACATCCCAAGGGCTGAATACTCCTGTGCTTTCCTAAAGATACCTATTCCTTTGGCTCTCTGAAGCTGCTTGGAACAGAGACTGGCTTAGCACAGTGCCTGGCACATAGGCAGTGCTTAATAAATACTTAGTGACCAATGGGCTAGTTTGCTGATTCCTGAGGAATCACAGTATATAGAACCTCAGTATATTTCCACAGGAATAAATGCCTTCATCATAGCCTTCCTTTAAAACTAGATTGTACTATAGTATTCTTAATCTTCTGTAGGCAGATCAGTGGAGCAGAACTAGGAATTGGAGTCGCTAGACATCACCATTCCTATGTGGCGAAATGGGTAGAGTGCTGGGCCTGGAGTCAGGAAGACCTGAGTTGAGATGTGGCCTTAGATACTAGTTGTATGACTGTGGGCAAGTCTCTTAACCTGTTGGCTGCTGTTTCCTTATCTGTAAAATAACAACGATAACAACTCTTATCCCAGCATTTTTGTTATTATCAAATGAGATAATAATTGTAAATCATTTAGCACACTGAGTAGGCACTATATAGATATTATTATTATTAATAATAATAGTATTTCAATTGCCTTTGTAGCATAAGTATCATGAGCTAGAGTATGTGGAGGAGTAGGGTGACCTCAATAAGGAGGGTACTCAGCAGATAAGGATTAATTGAAAGAGCTGTCTCTTCCTCTCAACTGGGTCTAAGTTTCTTCATAGATAAAAGGGGGGAGCTGGATTATTTAATTTTTAAGATTCCGCAGCGCCAAGTCTGTGGCCGAATTGTTTACATTTAGCCTGGAGGGATTAAGTTTAGAGATGACATGGTACTGCTCTTTAGCTATTTGAAGGGCTGTTCAAGGCTGAAGAGGCTTGTTTTATTTGCCAGCCAGGCAGGCAAAGCTCTGAGCAAATGGTAGTAGTTACTAAGGCTGACTTTGGAACAACAGAAGGAAAAACTTGGTGGAATAGGATTTGTGCTTTGGAAGAGAGTTTGTATTAGGTGACTTCCAGTTTGCAGTTTGATTCAGTCTCTTTAGCAGAGAGAGCTTTGTATTTGATTTTTAGAATGTTTTTTTAGGACTCTATAGCTGATGATCCCGAGTATATGGCTTCAGTACAGTGTTTACCTATCTACTGTTAACTCCTTTATCCCTGAAATCATGTGTCAGTGATCTGGTCTCATTTCTAGAACAAAGTGTTCTGTAATCCTATGTGTATATTTACAGAATTGATACATTTTTCATACCTAGAGTCCAAAGGATAAATCTGAAGCTCAGAGAATCTGAAGTTTGAATCTTTGTTGCTTCCTTTAAGGCTGGGCTTATCAAACTCATGTTGAAATGGGGTCACTAAACTGGAAGTGAGACTCCTTATTGACTTAGAAAACCATGTTAATATTATCCATTTTTTGTTGTATTTTTATTTTGTTAAATATTTCCCAATTACATTTTAATCTAGTTTGACACCTTCGCTCTAAGGTGCCTTGAGAAAGTCTCTAAACTCTCTTGGTCTCAGTTTCTAAGTTCATGAATAAGGAAGTGTTTTTTGGAAGTTCATTTTGTTGATGCCTTTTGTTTTTACATTTTGTAACAAAGACACACAGTTAACTACAGTAACTGTCCAGCAAGTGTATGACATTTCTC